CGCTCGCAATAGCCACAGGAACTTTGCTGCAAGACAGGCATATGTAACGATGACTTAGCGCTCTTAAACTCGTGTGTCATTAAATACAGTTCTCCTGACAACAGGCCAGCGAAAAATCTAACAATCTACAGCAAAACCATCAATTATTATGGGCGTTATAACATAGGTGTGCAGCTGGACGAAACATACACGTCGAACCCCCCCAGACGATTTAAATACCTGACGAAACATACACGTCAAACCACGCTGAACGGTTAAGAACACACATATGGATTCCAAATCTTAATTCTTGTGTTACACATTAGTTTCTTTGTCACTGATTTTCATCACATAGATCAATTGGTGATGTCTTCAAAATGGTGAGAAATGTCAAAGAAGTGAATCCATACCATCTTCCTGTTTTGCTCTTTGACAAATTGGTGACTTCACGTCCTACTTCAAGCTTCGTATCCCACTTGTTCACCCTTATTAATGTGTAACACTTTTTAACTTCAACATGCAACGCAGTCAGAAAAATGTCCAACTATTCACTATCAAAGCAACCCAATGCAGTAGGAAATAATTACTGGACTAAAGAAATTCAGGTGGCATCATGTAATGTGTGTTTCTGATTGTCTAACTAAAGGACCAGGAGCCTGAGGCCATCTAGTCACACAAAATGTGATCATAAAACACTGAGCCCTGCTACAATTGTATTATTTCTTTTTTATTTCGCTTAGTGGGGGGTGGAGTCATACTGGGTCCACTCGGCATGGCAGCCACTGATTGGCCTATTGTAGCTTGCCCCAGGTGATAATGATGATAGAGAATTTGGTGGAATGAAGATTGGCAGGGGAAACCAAAGTACTCTGAGAAAACCCGCCCCCAGCGCCACTTTGTCCATCACAAATCCCACTTGACCAGACCTGGAATCGAACCCGGGCCATGGTGGTGAGAAGCCAGCGACTAACCGCTTGAGCTATGGTGTGGTCTGTTTGTCATGCTACAACTGTAACCTTTTGAGAAATTGGCCAATGTTTTTCCATCGCTTTAGGATGTCTGCACGTCCACGGTGCATTTCAGCTGCATGGCAGGCATGAGAGTTGCATTAATGGTACTTTTATGGACTTCTAGCTGTAAATAATATGGGAAGCAAAATTGTGTGTACAGTTTACTCCAGAGATAACAGTTGTAGCAAGTTAGTTGCATTTTATGACAAGCTTGAGAGGAGCTCTTGATTTCTGCAAGATTTTTTCATATACTGTGAAACCAAGATATAATATGAATTGGATGTAATTCAGACATTATTAGAGGAATAAGCATCATATGCACCATTGATTTCTTAACAGGAAGAAAACTAGTATAAAACAGACTGAGTGCTTCCTAATTAATTGCTACCATTTTCTCACAACTGTTTGCACTCACTGTATGCAAATATTTGCATCCTCAGTTTTTTATGGCTAGCAGTCCATGATGGTCCTGTTAACACACTTGCCCCTGAACTTCCCTGTAGTCCAGTAGCTTGTTTTATTGTGTGTTTTGTCACGAACTGAACATTTTGCTGTGATTGTGTGCGAATTAAAAAGCATTGAGCCCCAGTTGTGACAAAACTGAAGAGATAGGCTTGAATGTGAAACTTGAAGTACCGGTTCTCACGGTCTCTTCATCTGCAGATTTCCTATATTTTTCCTTCTACCCTCAAGATGGAGGCGATACGTTCCTCCAAAACGTCGTTTAATACCACATATACACAGTGCCAAATCCCAGAAGACTGCTTTCTTCTTGAAGTAATTCATTTGTGTGAAGTCAGCAGGTCATCAAAAAGCAAAACTGGAAAACAATTGGTATTATTTATATATCAAACAAAAGTAAAATATAGTTTGCTGTTATATGTGATGGAAGAGCAGTGATATAAACAGATATGGAATGCGGAGAATGAAGATTAGGATTATATACTGACTAATAAATCCAAGCAAACTAATATTGTTCCTTTTCTTCATGGGTATCTACTGGTGTCACTGTGTGGTGAACATAATGAGATGGTACATCTCCTACCACTGTAATATTAGGCTCCACAACTACATGTTGTGTGGATCCTATCCAGCTCTGTTTTAAAGATAGTGGTTTTCATTACAAGTGCAGTAATTTAGGTATGCTTATTTGATTGTGTTAGCAAATTAAGCAGGTATGAGTTTATATGCAGGTTTTTTTCCCCTTCTCCCTTGGCACTACAGCCCCAGTGGGCCTAGGCCTACCTCCATGAACTCCATTCACTTCAGTTTTTCTAGATCTTACACATACGGTAGGACTCCTTGGGTGAGTGATCAGCTCGTTGCAAGGCCTCTACCTGTAGACAAACACAGAAAAATGCACACAAACATCCATGCCCTGCGCGGAATTCGAAGACACAATCTCGGCTTCCGAGCGAGCGAAGACAGTACATGCCTTAGACCGTTGGCTACCGTGACCGGCTTATGTGCAGTTTACATGCCGCTATCATAACACAAATTGTACAGTTAAGTACAAGGGCTAATTCATAACCATCTCTTACACACACAATGGCAAAGATTTGTGTGTATTCCTATCATGGCATTTAGAACAGACCAGAACATAGTGTACATATGCAAGTATGGTGCAGTTTTAATTGCATGTTAACATTTCTTTGCGTGTGCATATATGTACATGCAAAGAATTATGGGTCAGAATGTGATACTGACTTGTGGTCCTGCAGCATAATGTGTGTGGGACTTTGCTCAAAAAGGGTGACTCCTGACCATCAGTTGGTTACAAGTAGAAGAGATTTTTTTTAATTTAACGAAAACCTTTGACCTTTTGATTGAGGTGACACTAAAAATGAAGATAATGTTGATTTATTCTTAATTGTTTTCTTTTTCTCTGGAAGCCACTTCAAAACATGAGAAATATTGTTGTGTCCTCATTTTTTTAACCTTTAGTGCTATATAGTATTAGAGGTAATTGGGAATTAATGGGGGCTCTTATAGTTACATATTTAAACTCCTTTACATACATATATATTAACAGTATCCATTAGAGCAAAAATTTTGGCAGAGATATTAAATTCTCATAATATTACTGTTGTACTGTGTTGCTTTAAGAACTTGTTACTGCTAATGACTTATGTGACTCTAATGTTGTTGTTACAATCCCTGTTTGTTCTGCTGTGGTTAGAGTTCCATGTTTTTACTCTGAACTTCTATCCAGAAATTTTTGGATGAATATAAGTAATTACGTAATTTACTTCTCCATGTAACACCTCTTCTGCCACACCCTGCTCTATATACAGGTGTCCCAGGAGAAATGGACCAAACTTCGGGAGGGTGTTCCTTATGTTAAAGTATGCCGATATAACCCAAAACACCTGTGTCCAAAGTTGAATGGTTACGGAGATAATGGCCAGAGAAGTGTCAAACTTTGACGGGTGTTACGCACTTGTTGATTAAAAAATACATATTAAAACTGGCAGGAATATGTGGATTCTGTAATGTTAATAATGTACGTAACATCAAACTAACTTGTGAGTGACATGAAGCCATAAAATTGAAGTACAAAATACTCGCTCACCATGTCATAATTGTCCTTAGGGTTTCCAAGCACTATGCATGACACATGACTGGCAAGCGCTGGCGTAACGTGACTGACTGCGCTATAAGCAGACCACATAAGTGTATTAATCATACATTCACGGAAAATCTCTTTTGGAATTTCGTGTCCATTATCTCATGTGGATTATTATGGGACCATGTATGCACATTTCGTAAATTATTTACACTCTCCAGGGTAAAAGAAGCCTCATCACTGAATAAAATGACGCTTAACAGTTCAGGATGAGCTTTTTATCCAGTGGCACAAATCCATACGCTGTGCATGGTCGCCTGGTTCCAGATGTTGTACCCTTTGATCATGCTAAGGATAACTCTTCATCATGTAAAGTTCACCACACCTGTATACGTGATGAGCCGATGCGAGAGGCCATTCTACGAGTGGACAGACACGGACTTCTCTGAACCATCTCAAGAATGTTCTCTCATATGTCTATCATTCGTACATCCTCCCTTTCAGAGTGCACAGAAACACTCGGAAGAGAACCAGTATCACGCAATGTCTGGTGAATTCTCGTAAATACACTTTGAGATGGAATCCTTTGATCGGGAAAACGCCTTTGGTATTCTTCAACAGCAGCACGTGCATTGCCACCGCAAAATCCACACACAAAATGCATATCACAATACTCCACGTGTGAAAACACAAGAGGCATTTCAGCAACTCATCACACAACTAATCACGACCCCACCACAACGTACACTGTAGGTAGCACATGAGCTTACGGCTAGTGTGAATCACGACACTCAAGGACAAACAGATAACGAGGTCTCAGCTGACAGGTATAGTGCGTGGACCCGCCAGAAGGCCACACTTTTCTCGGGCCATTATCTCTGTAACCGTTCAACTTTGTACATAGGTGTTTTGGGTTATATCGGCATACTTTAACGTAAGGAACACCCTCTGGAAGTTTGGTCCATTCCTCCTGGGACACTCTGTATAACAGTTGAAACAGGCATGTCTCTAGGCATCTTCTCAGCTTACCAGGTACAGGAATGGCAATCCCCAGATGTCTGTAGGAAGGTAGCCAGGCATAGACAGTTCAGGAAAAGGAAAGTGGTACTGTGGAGGTAGTCACAGTCGTACGTATCCATACACTTGTTGGTGCTGGTGCATGTGCTGGATTACAGTCAAAGTAATACTGGATTCTCTGTCACCTTTGAGATATTCTGTTTGGTTGTTAAATGCCATATGGAGTTAGTATCTTGAAATGTGGGCCATCAGGTCCTGTTGTTCACTATAACTCCACATGGAGGAAGTATGTTCTTGTTGAATGCAGTGGTTTGGCAAAGTGCTATTTTGTATGAATTACGTAAATTAGAAATAGTTGCTCTTTAACTCAGTTAATTCATGCAATAGAAATAGAGAACTTTATCTTGTGCATGAATGCAACAGAATTTTATATTAAATACATCTCTAGTTATTTTTTTTTAATCCTAAGATATCTCTTTAGAACTGGAATTATTGATTTAGAGTGCACAGTTTGTGTGTAAGTGTGAAGCCACTGTTTATCCTTATGTAGAGTTTCTGTGCCACTTCACAGTCCCTGAATAACAGTAAGGCTATACGATGCCATTGCCCAAATGTTCCTTCCATATCTCTGGACATCATTCATTGTCTCTATTGTAATATTGTTGTCTATCATTCTTGTTTGTAAAACCCTTCCAACCAAGATAGGGCATGGCCAGAATGGCTACTGCTCTATAGGGTAACCAGATGAGCATGCCTGTAAGATAATTATTTTTATTGTACCTTATTTCTTGTTCTTGACTTATTTCTAAACTCCCAAGAGTGACTGAGTAGCAGAAAGAATGTTGTGCCTTCATCAATTAAAAACTGAGAAGAGAGAAAGTCTGGGAAGAACTAATCACCTACTTTCCTTTGATACAACATGGACCACATAGAAAGTGACACCTCTGGCAGTTATTCGTTGCCGCAGGAGTATTTACCAGGCTTGCAGAGTTACTGGGTTTTCTTGACTTTGTCAGACTTGCACAGATTCTCATTAGGTATGACGTTCGCTACGTAGAAAACGACGCATCCAACAATTCTTCTTTGTTTCGTGTATTCATTGCCGCAGGAACACGTTTACCATGTCATTGGCTAGCAACGATAGGAGGGGTACACATACAGACACCGATTTATGAAGTATGCCATTAAAATGGGCTCAGTTGTCATAATATACATACCAAGTTTCAGAAAGATTGTTTCAAGCAATTAAAAGTTGATAAAGAAGGATACACAGACAGCATGGTGATCACATAAGCCACTTTTATTTTTTCAAAATAAGGAAAATAGGCTGAAATGTGTGCTGGTGTTGCAGAACTTAGCAGTATTATCTTACAGGTGAATCCAAACATACACCTCACCTCCCTTTCTGGTGAGGAGCAGCTGTTACTTTTCGACAGCACCAGTGTTGATTTACTGCTCATTAATTTGGTTCTCTTGTTACTTGTACATAGACAGGCTGACTTTCTGACATTCAGGGTGGGTGAAGGAGGGGAAGTTGTCATAAATGTAATTGAGTTTCAGTGGGACTAGCCTATGAAGTATGTGCTGGATGCCTTATTGCAGTCCGTACTATGTGTATGGTCTTGCATTACGTTACAGGAATATGTTGGATTCGAAGTTCTCACATGGTGGCCATGAAGCATGCTGTCTTATGTGTTGTGATGCCTAATAGTCTAGTAGAAGCTGATCACCATTTTGGAGGAACATGCTCCTTCTTCATGGTTGAAGATATTCTAAACAAGCTGAATGAACTAACTGGTTACTTCATGGTTATTGTATGCTTGTCACACTTCTCATCCATGAAGATGGAGGTGATACATTCCTTCAGAACGTCCTTAAAATTCTACCAGACTACACAGATGACATCCCAGAAGATAGCATTCTTCTTAAATAATTAGATCCAAAGAGCAGACTCCTTTGTGAAAACTTGTCTTCATAGAATATTGTGGATTTAGTTGCATAATTTACACACACCGTCTTCAAGACAAGGAATTAAAAAAAAAATGTTGTGTTTTTAGTATGTTCCCACACCCCAGTCAGTCCATGGAAAGCTGCCCTCTGCCATTTGCAAAATCTGTTAGGTTTCTAAGAATGACATTAAAGAGCCACTTGGCGTTGGAATTACGCCTCTAGCAACTCTGGTTGAAATGTCAGACCGAACTGTAAAGCTTCACCAGTACGAGGCCTTATGGCTTGATTATGGAACTTTTTATCTATGTTGATCAGGAAGGTCTGGTCTGTTAGTGATCTCATCCATCACTCTGGCATGTGTCTTACTACAAGCACCTTTCAAACAACTAGAGTTGGAAGTCTGGGGAAGTTGCATTTGCCATTTGGTGGGAAACCTTGTGTAGTTACACCACAAAACTGAGCACTCAAGAAGCTTCCCTCCTATGGAGCAGTATACCAGCTGTCTCTCCAAACAAGATACATGCTCAGTACCAAAGCAGTAACCCATTTCAGATGAAAGCCTGTGAATTACTCCCCCCCCCCAAATTGCCAGTTCAGACATTTCATTAAAGTGAAAGTAAGTTGCAGTAGACTGTATAATGTATATATGATTGTAGGTTTAATTTTTATTGCATTGAAAGAGGCTTTTTGGAGCAGGAAATGTCAAAAATTGGCGTGTTCTCTTCTGCTCCGGCATCTCAAACTTTGGAAAGCACTGCCTTAGGCCTAAACGCAAGGTTAATAGGAATAAAGATCAACTTTAGAGTAGATTCAAAATGCATGGACATTGATCCCCACATTGTGAGTGCAGTTCCATAAGAAAATCATTGATAGGCTCATTTTCTTGTTTATGTGGTACAATGGTGACCTAGTGAAAGTGCTGTTTTGCATTGTTTGTTGAGGGGCTTACCCTGACGTTACTGAATTGTTTGTGGCAGCACAGTGGGGCCTCCTGGAGAGTGAAGTGCTGCTCATGGGAGGGATGGATTGTCTAGGCATGCATGGTAAGACAGGGTTGCCTTGAATGTATTACTTTTGGGGGGAAACAGAGCAGCACAGTCTTCTGTTAAAAGGAATGGAAGAAAACAAACCATTGAAATTCTTGTAACTTCCAAAAACTTGTTATTCATATGTGAATGATTTCAGAATATAGAAGGTAGGGCACATATTGGAATTTCAGCCTAATAAGACACCAGTAGCAGTTTCTATGCTCACAGCAAGGACCTGAAAGAATGGTGAACAAGTGTATTTGGTACTTGTAAATTCTGAGTTGTAAACATATACTTCTTATGCACGCAGAAAGTGGAATTGAAACAAAAGGATCTTGTCTGCATTTCTAGTTAGCAAATTCAGCAGTGTGTGGTGAAAACACCTGTTCATCTGCATTAAGGAAGTGGTTTCTCTTGTCCTCTACATCCTGTTTCCTTTTAATAGCCTCTTACATTTATACTAAATTTAGCATGATGATCCATATAAGCATGTGGTGGCCAGTCTTTCCCCATCAGTTTGACTTCATAAAGTTGTTTTACTGTTTGTCACTGTTAGGGCCCCCATGAGTAACTTTAAAGGCCTTGTTGTTTAGTTTTTAATTGATCATCAGATGTTTCAGACTACATTCTTTTTCTTGACTTCTGTCATCTCAGAGTAAGGGGATTTTAAATTGCCTGGTACTGCAGGACTAGCAGTCAGATTTTAATTTTGGTTTAATGATGTTAGCATAAACAAAGCAGTGTTCAGCTGAGTGGACTGCATGCACTATTACAGTAGCAGAATACATGCAAATAAATGTTAAATAATTCTAAATCTTTGTGACAAATATGGTGAATTTTATAAATTTGAAAAGTTCATGGGCTTTGGAATTTCATCACCTCTTAAATGCTTCTGAATAATAAAGCGAATTTCATCTTTGCTTTGGTTTATGTTCAGACTCTTATTTTCTATATTAAGTCAGCGCATGCATTTTAAATGAAAGTGCCCAGAAAAAAGAAATGCAGCTGCTGCTTGCTTCATATTTATTGAGCAAGTTGATGTGATCAGACTGCCACTCATTGCTCTCCAACCTGTCCTGTCCCATTTTGCATGCATGTGGTATTAAGTGAGAGACAAAGTGCCTCTTTGATACAGGGTGTTTGTAGCTCATTGTGTCCAGAAGGTGGGAATTCTTTGAATGTTTGTGATAAGAATTTAATAGGCCTCATGTTGCTTAAGAGGAGTGTCTTTCAAAACATGTATTGAAGGCAACTGAAGAAACAGCCAGATTCAGCTACATGTTCAGAACTTTGCTAGTGGCATTTATATCTGACGTCAGCATGTAAATACCAATAAAATCACTCGTCCACTGAAACATACGCGTAATGCACAGCTAAAGTAAGAAACCAACTTGCCATTGAAGTATTGCTACAAGTAAGCAATAAAATATATTTCCAGAGGCCTCGTGGAGAATATGCAGTCATTAAAGACTTTTTAATTCTAGAACTAGGTACTTAGTAATTCAGAGCTATAAAATTGTTTGTGTGTGTATATTTCTCTATAAAAGCGAAGTCTATACTTGCATTCAACCCAAGTTCCTGCCTTTTAGTCGCATTTGAGGATAGAATGGAGCACAATTGTTCATAATACAAAGGTATTACATACATATTCTTGAGGCGATTGCTGTCTCTGGTGGCAGATAGCTTAAAGTGAAACTTTTTGGTGGGTAGTGAAGAAATAACTGATGTCCACTCTTGGGCAAGTTGAGAAGGGGCTGTATTGGTATGAAAAGAGGGTCAGAGCAAAAGTATGCTAAAATATAGGCAAGAGCACTTACTGATAAAATTGTTGGATAAATGAAATATCTTGGAATTCATGAGTGGGTTAGAATTTCTTATCTAGAGTCTGAGCCTGTAATACTGTTTCCTTATAAATTTTATAGTCTCACCTGTACATCTGTACATAGAATCACATACCATCAATATTTTCACATTAGTAGTCTGACGTGTTCTGCTGAAAATGAATGCTGGTTGTAAGTAGTGAATGGGACCAGTGGTATGAGGAGTGGCCAGAAATTTCAAAATTTACATGAATTTTCAAAACTTAAAAGTTAATGCTTCATGCTCCTTTCATTTTTCTACTGAAATTTGTAAATGAATACTGAATAATTTTAGACACTCAGATTTTAAATTCTTCCATTTGCAGATCCGACTCATATTCTGTAATCCCGGGTGAAGACGATCGGATGAGACACTTTCTCAATATTGTTATTCCTACTTTTGGTTGTCTGCAAATCCCCACTCCACTCTGAGGGCTCGTCCAGGGTGAAAGAGGCAGTGCAACAGAGCGAGCGATTGATTCCAAACATAAAAAAGAACAGAAAAAATAAATCATTATAAAAATAAATAAATCAGTGTGCACATTGACTGGAAAAAAAGCAAAGTGTGTGCGATCGATGAGCGTGCGAGCGAGCGTGCACGTGTAGTGTAGTAGTGACTGACTGCTGGGTGTGAGAGGAGGGACGCATATGCTGCCATGCGCGAGTGTGCTGTGCTGACTGCTGCGTGCGTAATGAAGACTTCGGACCGACGGACGCAACGCAACATGACCAAACTGCCGGAAGGCAGGTGAACGAACAAAGCAGGGCAGTATGAGGAGGGATGGAAGAAGATGTGTGAGGATCGCATGAGACAGATTCCAATTCACCAACGCATTTTAATAGAAAATGGAAAGAACTTGTCTACCGCCTTAAAGAAAATTCCCATTCGACACATGTCAATTTTTCCTCTGCTGAATATTCGGCACATGTGTTTTTTCTTGCTCAGGAAATTGTATAAACTTTTTAAAATGATGTTTTCCAGCTGAGGGAAAGAAGGTAATGTTGCAGTGCAACTGACATATCCTACTGGTCAAGTTTTTTTTTACCAAGAGTTGAAGTGCTTTGCCAACTAAATAGAAAGGCACTTCACTCTGTTACCAGTACTAATTGTGTATTATTTCAGATGTTGAAATTCCAATGATTGAAGTGCCTTTAGAAAAAAATAAAGATGGTGTGGATCTTTGTTTCCATTGGCTCAGACCTAATTGAGATATTGGAGAGCCAGTTATTAAAATTGTAACCCATTTGTATAGGTCAGGTCAGTTCCCTGCCTTGGCCAGACTTCAGGGGTAAGTAAAAAGTATTACGCATTTAGTTTCCAAATTTAAGAATCATGAAATTTAAACTAACAACCTCATTTATTGTAATGTATTATCATATTTTTGTAAACTTTGTTTATTCGATTTAGTCAAGTGTTTTGTGTATGATATTGTTGAAATTTCTTCCAATTTTGATGTTACGGATGTTTATTTTATTAATTTACATCATTTGTCTTTTCCAAGATATGGGATATTGTAACATAAGAAGATGGTGTGAATGTGTGTGTGTGAGGTCACTGATTTATTCCAGCTGATGTTTGTTGTAGTAACAACCACTGGTAATCCTCATTTCAGGTGACTTCACTAAATATGAATCCAAGGTAACTTACTGACCTGAACCAAAAAGAAAAACAAAAAACTGTGATATGAGGAGGTCTGTTCAAAACAGCTGCAGAATTGAGTTTAGGCAGTGAGGTGCAAGATATTGCAGCTACTTTTTGAAAACATCTGTTAAGGCAGCCATTAGTGCAGTCTTTGATGCAGTGGCTTGGTGCAGACCGCCTCATCTATACCTGACTGATGTGTGATAATTGCGTCCCTGTGTGCCTGTGAATAAATCACATGCCAGCCGAAGTGTGTTCACAACCCTTCCAACGGCATGGAAGTACGTAATCTGCATTGTATCAATGAGCTACTTGTATTGTATGCTTGTGAGCATGAGAGTGTGTGAATGTTTTAAACTTGGCATTAATATGTATAAGCAGTTCTGTTCCCAGCAACAGGAACAACAGACTGCGTAAACTTGGTGATTCTTTCTAGTTGTGAGAGCGAATGCTGGTGAAAGTGTGTGTATGTGTTAATTGTGTGCCATGACAGAGTTAGTGTGCAAGCTTGTTTTGTCCCACCCATTAATTCTGTGTTCCTGCAAGTAAACAGCCTTCCCTAATGTGGCCACTAAAAAGAATCCTTATCCCCAAATCCTATGCCTGTTGCTACTGCTGCTTGTTTAAAAGCCAATGATTATTAAGAAAAATCCCTAGGTTTAATTATATAAGTTATGTTATTGATACTAAACATATTCTTGACCATCACTCGAATTTGTTATTCTGAAAGTGCATCATAAAAATAAGATGAAAACATGTTGGCAACATTCTGTAGCCTAATTATTGAGAGAGAATTTTGGAATACTCCAATGCACTTTTTTTCGTAGGGTAATAAGACATAGTTCTGTAATGCAGATGAATAAAAATTATCTTGAAGAGTTAGATGTATTTGAAGTGTTGATGTGTTGTCATTTTCTTATATACGGTCTTCCAGCAGATGCTGTCTTCATTTCTTATGGGTTCATCAGGAAGTGTGTTGGCTGTAGTAGTTAAAAGTAATTTAAATTTATGTAACGTGCAATAACATTTTCACCTCACAGCAATTCAGCTGTTGGCTTGCATTGCAACCCCCCTTTTTCTGTGCGCTAGTGTTTGGCATTATTTCATTGTGAAGACATGAATAGCAAACCATCTACATACATCCAAGGAGTCGCAAAAGGTAGCAGCATACTCAGATTTTGTCTTGTCATGTATTAACTATCCAGCCTTGGTTGGGTATGTTAGCCTGGACAAAGTACCGGTAGATCAATCATGGATACAGCATGAAATATAAAAAACATATTTCTTGAATTGCATCTGAACAAGCCAGTATGTAACACAGTCTGAGAACTGTGCATCAGTTCATATTTAAAGACTTAAAACAAAATTATGAGATTAATAAAATAAAAAACAAACTCCATGGTTTTAGTCCACAAGCAAACTATACTGACCGGGTGACAGCTGCTTGTCGGCAAAGTTAGTGAGATTACATATGGCAAATAAATTATAAAACTCCATTTTAATTGTACAGTAATTATAAATCGGCTTTTGAAGCAACTATATTGAGGGCACATGTTAACATCTATATTTCAGATACAATTTCTGACAGTTCTGTGTACATTGGTAGGGTCGTGGTCAGCAAGTTTACACACCAGCATCATAATCAAATTTCAATTCCTGACAGTGTTATTCTTGGTGAATAATGAATATGCTCTAATATGTAGTCTTCACAGAATTGGATAGAGTGGGAAGGAGCTTATGTCTTCACCTTGTATGAAACTTAAAAGACTTTTTAAAGTATTAAAGATATCCCTGTAACAGGCTGTGGAGGCCCATAGGGTTGTGAGATGTTGAGGGTCCCACATATTCTAGACAATTGGGTCACAGATGACGGCAAGGTTGTTGGCCCTAAGCGCCGGCCGCCTTTACCCCCAAGAATATTCCTGGTACTCATTTCTGTTAGAGGCTGAGTCGACCCCAGGGCCATAGTGCAGCTGGAAGGATTAGGGCAATTTAAAAAATCCAGTGACCTCATCGGGACTTGAACCTGAGAANCCCCAGGGCCATAGTGCAGCTGGAAGGATTAGGGCAATTTAAAAAAATCCAGTGACTTCATCGGGAATTGAACCTGAGACCTTCTGGCTTGTAGCATAGTGCCTCAACCAACTATGCTACCATGTGCCCCACATAAAAGACTATTAGGTTTTCTTTCTATCTGTATGTGGCCTAAACCATTGGATTTTTTTTTTTAATCAATGTGGGAGATACTCATTAAAAGTAATTTTGCTGTGTGTCCGTGTGAGTCTGCTGTGGATAAAAGGTTTTGGGGCAGTTTTGTATTTAAGAGCCCTCACAATTCTATGAATGTTTTGACAGTGATGGAATCAGTATGACATTTCAGAAGTTGACTGTACTCCTTTTTGCTGATTTTTTTATATTTACCCTTCACAATCCCTCTCCATAAATTGTATAACTTAATTGTTTTTGTAGAGTGACCAGGGATATTCAAAATTTTGGGAAGGGGCAGGAGGACATCAGCAGAGTAATAAGCAAGCATAAGAGTAAAATGCCTGTTACTTTAATGATCGCCACTTTCGTGATGGTGTAACTTAGTTCTTGCCAAACTTCACTGAATTTACATTGTAGTTGTCTGTGTTATGACACTTGTAGTCTGTTAGATGGGTACCAACACAGAGAAATATACTGCCTCTGTCTTTAGGCACTTCTGAAGCACTGATATCCACCACCAAACTTCAAAACAATGTCATAACCAAGAGGACCGCAATCTGATTCACTGCTGCAGTAAGCATCCCAAATCTCTCTTGTAACATGTAGTACTGTTGCTATGCAGTGATTATGAGAAGAAACATGGCGTTTGCTTAGTAACGGCTTGGTAAACATGCTTCGGCAAAAATGACATGCACACAATACAGCTACAATGGAAATGGGGTGTTTCCTGTTGGGTCCGCCATAATGCTATATAGCGAGGATCCCAGGTCAGCTGAGTGAAATGAAGTAGTTCGTGAATGAGTCAGTTGAGGGTTGACAGTTGACAAGAATTCTGCATGGGCAGCTGTGGCAAGAGGACCTGAGTTCGGGAACGACTGGTAAAGGTTTAGCAGTTGCTGCTGTGATTTGTAAAGTGGACATCAGCGATGGTGCTGTATTTACGTGTAGTTCTAAGTGGTGCAAGTTATGAAATCCCATTCACCAATCCATACCCTGTCTATAGTCACGTCCTATACACGTGACAACTGGTGTCAGAAATTATTGTATTGCGAACTGCATCGGATCTTGATCGTTATACCGTCATACAAAAGAAATGGAACAAAGGATCCACTGAAAGCCATGCTAGAAATAATGGAAACACAAATAGATTCTCCAGCCTCCAAGATAGACGACGGCCTACCAAGAAGCGTCAGAGACCTGTCTGGAGAGTAAGGAGCCAACCTCATTGGAGGTAGACTTTGTAGCGGTGCATCAGGAAGTCTAAGGAAGAGGCCACAGTGGGAACGTGGAGCACTGAAGAAGCGGTGTGAGGACAGGCATCTAGCCGCAAGGCGCTTCCGAAAGCCGAAGGACGCAGGGCAATGGTGGGTCCCGGAAGAAGTTGGCCGTCGCATGCATAGGAGTAACCCGCCGTGCCATTCCTTCATGGCATAAGGTACACGGCCAGGACAGTGTTGCCAGAGGAACACCTAAAGGACGGACGCTCGAGAGGAGACAACGGACGTGCCAGGAAGCCAGCAGTGTAATAAGGATCCAAGGCTTCAAGAAGCAACTACGTCAGAGGAGCGAGAGTACATCCAACAGGATCTTCATGAAAACCATCATACTGGAGATCATGAAGCGAATAGTCGGATATTTCGTCAGGACATTGCACAGAGGTCGGCCTGCTCCGGAACGAAAGAAGAGCTGGCACACAGAATAGCAACCATAAATGTAGGAGCATGGACCACTGTCGGAACTTTGGCCGCACCAACTGAAGGAATATGATGGTGATACTCCTGGATCAACTGGCACCCTGTCAGGGAGCCGCTCGGAACGACTGGTTGGAGAGTAGACAGCAAGAAAACCGAGCCACGGGAAGGAAGGTGAAATCAAGCACGGATGTAGCAACCACAGCTCTCGGAGAAGAATGGCAGTACGCCTGTAGTCAGTTCGTGAGGAATAGCCTTAAGGATGGAATAACGTAACTTGTAGTAACTTTACTGTCCAACAGTCGCGAGAAGGAACATGCGTTGCTTGGTAACGGCTCGGTAAACACGCTCCGCGTAAACGACACGCACACAACACAGTTCACAACGGAAACAGTATTTTCTGTTGGGTCCGCCCCTCGCTATATAGCGAGGATCAGTTAGGTGAAGTGGTTGGTGAGTGAGTCAGTTGAGGGCTGGCAGTTGAGTTGAGCTCTGCAAGGGACGCTGAAAAGAGACGGCGCTATAGTTGAGTTTAGAGTTGACAAGAGTTCTGCACAGGCGGTTATGACAGGAGGACCTGAGCGCGGGAAGCTGAAGAATCTGCACTGTTAGAAGCCTTTGCTAGGGAACGGCTGGTGAAGACAAGCTGGAAAAGGCTTAATGTGTGCTGCTGTGATTTGTAGAATGTAGAGATTACCGATAGCGCTGTATTTGTAGTTCCAAATGGTGTAAATGGTCAATAGATCCGATTCACCAATACATACCCCGTCTATAGTCACACCGGACAGTATTAATGAAAAAGAATTTTTATTCAAATTGGAGAATATGGACTGACAGTTCTCTTCGTGGGCTCCCTTGCTTACGTTTTGAAACCAGTTTCAAAACCGACTAGAGATTTGAGAATAATAACTGAGTCATATAGAAACAGAATGTCGGAGTTTGGAATGGCATTACATAAGGGTAGGGGCTAGTGATTAGTTTTTGTGAGCCTTAAAAGCTGTTTAAATTCAACTTCAAAAGTAAGATCCTGCACCGCGGATAAAACTGGATATGGTGACCATCTGTCTTCCATCATACCTCCCCCTCTCCCAGAATTTTTACCTTTGGATTAGCTAGTTCACATTGCAGGAGTTATTTCCCTAATGCCCATTTTGACATTCAGCATCATAAGTTCCAGTCCGAACAAAAACGTTATTTTCGTCATACATCGAGCCTCCTATCTTGCGATTATTGTCGGATATTTCTCAAGGAATAAAGTAGCTAGAGGATGGGTCTGATAGCTGATAGCTTGTCCGCATTTTTGTATAGTACAGATATTTATAATGTGTCTAATTTTATATTTGTGCCACCTTTTAGTGGAATGATACTTGGGACTTATACGTAATATAGTCTTTGTGAACGTTCTTTTTTTAGTAGCTATAACGTTCTGGTGTTAATATTCTCAGAACCACCACTTCCTTTGTTTTCCTTCAGAATGTTTGGCCGTGTTTCATGTCTGTATGTTGGCACAATTCACGTCGGCTGCCCTGCGCGCTTCTCGTTCGATTGGAATATCGTGGCCCGCACTTGCATGTTCGGGAAGCCGTTCGCTTGACGAAGGCCGAAATCGCCCAAGAACTCTCTAGAGACTTCCCGCCCGGTGAAGTTCCTATAAAAGTAGCTACCCTCGCGGGGCCCCAGTTGAGAGGAAGCGAAGAATGAGTGGTGAGTGTTCAGCCAGTCTCAATTCAGTGCAGAGAAGTCTATAGAAGAGGTGAGAACACTAAGAACTGGTGTTGTGAAGTACCGAATGAATAGTAAACTGACATCAAGAGGATATGTGGGTATGGACGATGGGACAGTAATTGTCCCATGGATCAAACGATACAGCTGATATCAGAAGTAGAATCGAAGCTAGCTCAAGCGTTACAGACACTTTTGGATCACTGAAATAAGTTGAGCGCCGGCGAAAAAGTAAAAAAAAACAAGCACCGGCCAAGAACGACTTGGAAGCGC